GTCCTCGTTTTTTTTTTTTTTTTCAAATCCGACGCCCCACCGGGGCGCATGGAGATAACCTTCGCCTCTTCAAGCTCTCGGGATCTCCCCACAATCTCTGTATCCTCCTCTTCCTCTTCATTACTCGGATCCTCCATGCCGACCCGACCCGTCAAAATCATTCCTCTTCAACATCCAAACACGACGACGTCTTCCTCCTTGAACCCCCTGCCCAGGGCCCTGCTCTCGAGATGGACAGCAAAAGTTAAACGAACCACCCTGGTTCAGTGGATCGACACGTTTCTCCCTTGTTGCCGTTGGATTAAAACTTATAAATGGCGCGAGTATTTCCAGCCTGATCTCATGGCCGGTCTCACCGTCGGTATCATGCTCGTTCCCCAGGTAATTCCACTCCTTCTCTTTACAGAAAGAATCTGCAATCCTCCTTTGTTAGTTAGCTAATAAAAGCCGCTGAATTTCTTCAAGCGTTTGGCTGTAAGGAAAATGAAAGAAAAAAAAATGTCGACGACTCTACAGCTGTTTTCAGTTTCTCTAAGCTGTCCGAGTCAAACTCATCTAATTTTGATTTTGCTTTCTTTTCTATTCAACCAGTTGCTGTGTTTAAGTAACTTGCAAATCTTTCTTTCTTTCCTTTTCCTGTAATTTTCTTGTGCTCTCTCGGTAACCAAACAGAGTCTTACAGTTGTCAACGGCTCACGTAGTGCATGTCTCTGCCTTGTTTGATTAGTCATGGCTGTTGCGGAGGCAATTACTGAACTTAGATTGATTGGATTCACTTGGTTTACTGGAGATACTGTTTAGATTGAGAGAATTTTTCAAGGATTAAGGATATTATTTTCTTGTTTTAGATTAGGTTGTGTTTGGTTGCTTGGAAATGACGTTTTGAGGTTGGAATTTCGATATGTCTGCAACCAAACACAGCCTTCTGTGATTTTGCTTTTTCCCTCTGAATCAGATTTTAGCATATTAAACGTAATATAATGTTGCTGCTAGCATTGTGTATTATTTAAGATTTAAGTAGACTGGTTGGATTATTCATTCATTCATTTATTTTTTGTTGTAATGAACAGGCAATGTCTTATGCAAAATTGGCAGGACTGCACCCAATTTATGGATTGTGTAAGTTACCATAAGATCAAAACTGTTATAAATCTTACTTCTTTATTTAAGTTTTTTGTTGAAAACATGGTCATGAATGTTCGGATACGGAAATTCCCTGTAATAGCATAGTTCTTGCAGTGCTTGCGAAGAAAAATTCTGTGGCAGAATTTTAAAGCACAAAAATATGATAAAATAAATAATTTATAATTCAGTTTGATAATATTTAGATACCGTCAGCACCTTACAGATGAAAGATGATCTAATCATGACAGCATCTATTATCTTTTGAACTGATATCACAGTCTGATTATTTTACATGTATATGATGACTTCTAGGTATTGGTTCTCTGTTCTCACCTTACCTCACCATACCATCATGTATTCCCCCCACCCCCACCACCCTCCCCCCCCCCCCCCCACCCCCCCCCCCTCTTTTTTTTTTTTTTTAACTCTAGAATGGTTGTGTTGGTTTTGCAAGGCAGACACTGGTTTTATACCGATATTTGTGTATGCCATATTTGGATCATCTCGGCAACTTGCAATTGGACCGGTGGCATTGGTTTCTCTGCTAGTCTCTAATGTATTGGGTGGAATTGTCAATTCATCTGATGAGTTATATACAGAACTTGCGATAATATTGGCATTTATGGTTGGAATATTGGAATGTATAATGGCACTTTTGAGGTACCACGATCAATGTATTAGTTAAAAATTTCTTTCACATTTTGAATTCATTAAGCTATGTGCAGATCTCCTGCACTAAAGTTGTTTATGATTTCATTGACTTACAGCATTATGATAGTGATTAATGCATGTTTTCCTCTTTGCTGTAGGCTTGGATGGCTTATCCGCTTCATCAGCCACTCCGTGATTTCTGGCTTCAGTACTGCTTCAGCCATTGTTATTGCACTGTCCCAAGCAAAGTATTTCTTGGGGTATGATATTGTACGAAGTAGCAAGATTGTGCCGTTGATTAAAAGCATAATATCTGGAGCACATAAGGTATGGGTTATTCAAGTTGAAAGATAATTTGTTGCAATCTGTTGTTTGTGGCTTGTTAAATTAAGAGAATAGTTTTACATATTTTAGGGTCACAAAGGGCTTATCGAAAAAGTTGTTCTAGCCCAATGATTAAACTGTGTGAAGTGGATGGTGGTAATTTTTTGCATGCAGTCATATGGTAGTACCATGATCTGCCCCGTGTTTCTGGCAGCTACCATTACACACACACACACACATATGAATTGGCCGCTACCAATCTTCAACCACTGGTTTTATGATTGTATGATGGCTGATAACTAGAATTTCATGTTATAATATTTTTAAAAACTTGAGTTTATGCACCCTGAATTTCCCCTTTATCATTTATTTTTAGTCCTTTTATTTAATGTGATTTTTGAATCAAGTAGCTGTGATCTTATCTTCCTGTTCAATGTTTTCTGTTATTTACTACCACTCATCAATTCTTTCTTTAACAACAGGTGATATTTTCCTTTTGTAGTTCTCTTGGCCTCCTTTTGTGATGGGATCTTGCATTCTTGCAATACTTTTGGTCATGAAACATTTGGTATGAAATCACTTAAAATTCTAGTGGTAACTGGTAAGAAGTGTCTCTTCCTGGATCTCGTTTATGACATTGAATTTTTATTTTAAGGGAAAATCAACGAAGCAGTTCAGGTTCCTACGGGCAGCAGGTCCACTTACAGCAGTTGTTTTGGGTACACTTCTTGTGAAAATGTTTCATCCATCCTCGATTTCTTTGGTGAGAATGACATATAAAGTGAAAGCATTGTAAAACTATTTATTTCATATATAAGAATAGATTTATCGATCCTCTATCTCCCCGATGAGATGAGGTAATTTGAATGCTGAACTCTTTCTAATGTCTACGCTCTTTTCTAAGTAGTGCTTGTTTATTCTGCTTTGTTTTTGTTTTTTCTCCCCACTCATCTTAAAATCTCAATCTCTACATCAACTTGATGAGCATTTTGTAGTTTGGAGACTCACATTTTGCATTGTGAGAGACGGTTTTTTGTGTTTTATGTGATTTTTTACCTGGATTTCATTAAAATAACAAAATGTAGAAAAAGAAACATCTCACCTTTTTCCTTGGAACTCTAGTTTTATTGTCACATCTTACTGGACTGTCCTTATGTGTCTGGAATCTAGTTGATTTGAATGTGCTACAGCTGGTTGCTACGAGGCACTTGCTTTCTACCAATCTTAGCTGCAAGGCCAACTTGATCTATGCTTTAATTGGACTCTTCTAAGCCCAAGTATCTGAGAAATTCTGTGTTTCATTTCCATGGCCTACATTGAAACCCTGTTATTTTTAGAAGTGCCAATATGCCATTTACTGGCTTAATATTTGTTTCATTGCTCCAACCTAGAATAATCGTTCTAGATTTAAGGTACTTGCCTTCACAGCGTCACTGAGTTTTCATTGTCGTAAGAATTTAACTGAGAGAACAGTCAATATGTCCAACCTCTTCTCTCTTTGAATAACCAAGGACCGAATTTTGCATGTAATAGTAATTTTGGATTTTAGGGAGGATGTAACATGAGGTAGAGGAATGCAAAACCAGTGAAGTTGGTTCTTCTGTTTCACTAGGCCATTCCTGTCCTGTCACAGAGTTGACACTATTTATTGATCTTGGCCAATGAAACTTTGGATTCCAAATAAACTTTCGTTGTAACATGTTTTATTTATAAATGTTTTCTCTCAACTGTTTCCTTGTTTGGTGAATGCCATATTTCCATTTCAAACAAATCATCCCAGAATTGACAGAGATTAAAAGTATGGTGTTGTTTTAGGTAGGGGAGATACCCCAGGGACTCCCAAGCTTCTCTTTTCCGAAAAAATTCGAGTATGCAAAGTCTTTAATTCCAACAGCAATGCTTATTACCGGAGTAGCCATATTGGTAAGAGAGGTTTTGAGGATCATCTGCTTGCAACACTGCTTTTTAAATTTGAGTTGTTATGCATCCATTCAAATTAATCTTTGAAATTTAGGAATCTGTTGGGATTGCTAAAGCATTGGCAGCAAAGAATGGGTATGAGCTGGATTCAAGTCAAGAGGTATGTTTTAGAAATAGAAATGGAAGGCGCCGATAAGCATTTTGTTTTTTGATGATGAATGTAGCATACTAGATGCCTCCAGTCTCCATCAATATAGGATGATCACCCCTGCTTCTAACTTTTATTTATGCTATTTGATTTCCTTTTTGGTTGTGCAAATAAATAAGAGGCCTAATTGAAACTTATTGACTGGTTCTCTGTCTAGACTCTGCGTAACAAAATGAATTTCTAACTTTGTTTCTCTTTCAACAGTTGTTCGGTCTTGGTTTAGCCAATATCATGGGCTCATTATTTTCAGCATACCCTTCAACAGGTGGGATTTCTGGGAGGTGCTAAAAGCTCCAAGTTTAACCATGGATTTGACTTAGATAACCTGTTTTTGTCCTTCGTTATCTGTTTATTCCTGGAGTTTGTATTGGGATGCCATTCAATAAAATAAGAGCTTCTTTTCCTATATGCAGGCTCGTTTTCTAGGTCAGCTGTAAATAATGAAAGTGGGGCTAAAACCGGCTTATCTGGAGTTGTAGCTGGAATAATTATGTGCTGTTCTCTTTTATTCTTGACTCCGTTATTTGAATACATACCACAGGTTTGTTTCTATGTCCCTGCTGTTACATATGTTCTGTAATAAAGAGGCTGTGAAAACTGTAGAGAAAGAGGCTATAGTATATCATGCAGTTCTTGTCCTAGAAAGTTAAAGTGTTTGAGATGTGTGATAATACCAAGCAAATCACTTTTCAATTTTTTTTTCCCTTATCTACCATATCATTGTCATTATCATTGTGTTCGTTGAGGAGCCTAAATATTCTTTTATTTCAATTTGGAAGATAATTGAGGATTTTGTGGTTTCTACTCTTTGCAGTGTGCTCTAGCTGCAATAGTAATATCTGCTGTGATGGGCCTGGTAAGTATGATAAAATCACAAGCTGAGGGATCGACTACAAATTCTGTTTAACATCTATGCTTTCCAAGTTTGTCTTTTTTTCTTGGTAATAAAAGGGGCTAAACGCCCAGAGCAACAGGAATCTATATACAGACTAGACAGGGAATAGCTACCCCAATAATATCTTGATACAGTAGATTAGACATTCCAACTGACAAGGAATCAAAATAGTGAGTTCCAATCTCCATAGAAAGAGCTTGATTGGCCAACAAATTCACACACTGATTACCTTCCTTATAAGTATAAATCTCCCAATCACGCCTGAGAAAACTCACAACCTCTTTGAACAATGGATCGTGAATGAATGAGGAAGAGACCTCATTTGTAGCATCAACTTGAACCTTACAATCCATTTCCAAAATAACTTTCTTGAAACCAAAACTTTCTTGAAACCACACGGCCAAGCCAGTTGAAGACCCAAGACTGCCGCCCAGAGGTCAACTTTAAATGAAGAACACAATCTATATTAGCCACAAAACCATGTAGCACACGACCACCACCATTGATGTTTTACATTTGTCTATGGATTGCATCACCAATGTGTACATAAGCTGAATTTCCAATTTAAAGAACAAGTTTCCCCTTATATTTGGCTTCTCTGTGGCAAGCAGGAGTCGTACTCGGAATATATAATATATGGGTTTTATATGACTATCTACTATCTCTGCTAGCGATCTTTCATTTCTATGACATAACTGTTCGAATATTCACTTTTAGATTTTGCATCACATGCGAAATTGAAGTTTAGGAGATTGTTATTGTATTTTTCAAGTACATTGTTTAAAAGGTTAAGATGCTTATTTCTCAAAAAAAAAAAAAGAACAAAGAAAAAAAATGAGCCCTGAAGAAGTTCATGTTTTTAAAGTATTTATGGCTCAAAATCATTTTTGTACCTTTTTGTTTATGAAAGCTACATGCTGTGGGACAAAGCATTCAAGCATATTGATATGAAGCTCCAATAGACTGAAACTTCCATATCATTTTAAAACATCAGTTTGTATTGGCTCTCCAAGCAAGATCATATGTGATGGCAAGAGTAAAGATAATCAAATGAATAATATTAGAGCACAAATTCTACTAAGTTGAGTGTGGTAGTTGGTGCTCATTTGTACCTGTGTTGGTATTGGAAAGTGAATTGTACTCGTTGCCACCTTGTTTGGATTGTGGCTTAAATACTATTTATATTAATTTATTTATTTCCTTGGATGTCTATCATTTCAGGTGGATTATGATGAGGCTATCTTCTTATGGCGTGTGGATAAGAAAGATTTTGTTCTTTGGCTCATTACCAGTACTACAACATTGTTCCTTGGGATTGAGATTGGTGTCCTTGTTGGGGTTAGTATTTAAAGAAGCAATGTTAGACACAATGGTTTGGACAGTAAAATATGAGATTTATACATTGGTTATCTGAAATCTGCGAACACTTCATGTCAGCTGCCTTCTCAGCTTATTTATAAGATGCTGAATCCATCAACCTCTTTTTCGTGCTAGTGCAATAGTTTGACATAATCTTGCAAAGTCCTTTTAGGTCCCCAGTTTGACATAACTCTGAGAAAAATTGGTTGACAATCCTTTACCATGCCACTGGTTGTATATATTGTGCATGTATTACTTACTCTAAATTGGTTTTGAAACTGCAGGTTGGTGCATCACTTGCTTTTGTCATCCACGAATCTGCAAATCCACACATTGGTAAGTGGGACTTGTTACATCATAGTATTTATGCATGTTAAGATTAGGTTTAATTGTTCTATAAATCCCAGTAGATCTGTATTATCTGCTCTTTGCATAATCATGATTATGAGCTTTGTCATTTGCTTCATCATATCAACTATGGCAATGACATTATCTGGATCTTCATTATAACAATGACATTATCTGGATCTTCATTATGGCTCTATTTGATTTTTTTCTTCCCGTTTGAACTTCTAAAAGATCAAATTTCCCTAGTAGCCCTTTTTATCCTGATAAATGGTCACCTTTTATCCTGATAAATGGTCAAATTTCTGGGTGGTCTGGGAACTGGAGATAAAGGTTACAAGCTTCAGACTGGTGCCCTTTTTTGTTGAAAATCATATTACATTGGTGCTGAATTATTGTAGATACATTTATAGTTTAAGCAGGCATTAAATAATTTTAATTTGGTGTACACTGCAGCTGTCTTGGGACGTCTTCCTGGCACCACTGTCTACAGAAATATTGAACAGTATCCAGAAGCATATACTTACAATGGAATTGTGATTGTTCGCGTTGATGCACCTATCTATTTTGCTAATATAAGTTTCATAAAGGACAGGTGAAATTTTGTGTTTCCCTAAATTAATTCAACCCAGGATTACAAGTTCTTTGGATTTTAGGTTGTTGAGATTTCCTTTGTCAGGTTACGGGAATATGAAGTTGATGCTGACAAATCTTCTAGACGTGGACCAGAAGTTGAAAAGATTTATTTTGTGATTTTAGAGATGTCACGTAAGTCTTATTCATCCTACACGGGTTACTGGGTCAAGACAGAACATATATTATGTATTCCATAGCAATCATCGTGCTATTATGCTTTTATACTTGCAAAAGTCACTTTCGGCCACCAAAACTGTTTGCTTTTTCATGTCATTCTGTTTTCCATATACATGTGTTTTTATGCTGATTCAGATTTTTTTTCTTATGAAATATTTTGTGTTATAGCCACTGGGTTCAGTGATTTTGGTATGGCGTTATCATTAAAGCCATAACCTTTTTCATTCTGATTTTTCAAGTATGCTATTGAAGCTGAAAAATAAGGTTCATTAAACAATCCTCTTACCTATGTCCCAAATGTTTCTTATTTTGTAGCTATTACATACATAGACTCCAGTGCTGTTCAAGCATTGAAAGACTTGCACCAGGAGTACAAATCACGGGATATTCAGGTTGAGTGTCTGTTTTTGTGGAAGTCAAGATCAAGTGCATGTTGTTCATTTTATATAGAGACACGGTATAATCTCTGCTCTTTGCTGGGTCTTTTGCAGATCTGTATTTCCAATCCGAACCGAGATGTTCTGCTGACCTTAACAAAAGCTGGTATTGTAGAGCTTCTTGGTAAGGAGCGCTACTTTGTGAGAGTGCATGATGCTGTTCAAGTTTGCCTTCAGCATGTTCAGAGCTCAAGCCAATCTCCTAAGAAACCAGATCCTTCTGCTGAGGATAAACCAAGAATCTTTAAAAGGTTATCGAAGCAGAGGGAAGAGGATTTATCAATAGCAGAGTTGGAGTCAGGTGATAATAAAACCTCTGCTCCCAAGCATACAAAGCCGCACTTGGAGCCATTGTTGTCTCGGAAGTCTTGAAATTTGCTTTATTATTTTTATGGACATATGATGCCGATTTTTCAAGGCACTATGATATCTGTCTGTAGATCATTGATTACAAGGTTCGATTGTTTGCTTGCATGCATGCTTTACTGTTGTAAAATGCAATGCAATACTCGTCGTAAGGTTTGTTTTCTTCAATGGAATCATAAGACTGTAATCTGCATTATATAAAACAATGCATTTATTGCGTCAGTTTGTATCGCTTCTTCACTCTGTTTATATTAAGCAATTTGTATCATGTTACCTCCAGTCACGAGCACTAAAATCCCTGGTAGGGATCTTCTCGCGGAGAGCTGTGTGGACTCTGCAGCCCGCGTTGAAAGCGGCAAAGTTGATACGAAGGTGAAATCTCATCATGCAGTCCCACATCGGAAAAACGACAATCCTTCTCCAAGTGAAGCACTATAAATAATCTATTGCTACCTGAGAGAAAAATTGCCTTAAACTAATGAGTAAGGAAAACAAAGCGAGAGGTGGGAGCCGCTCGCCGCGCCGACACATGTTTGTGCGCATGAATTTGTGGAGGGGTTATAGGCTGGCCGAGCGTTGACGCTGCTTACTTTGCAGAACTCGCTTGCGCGGGCCTCCCTATTGTCCCACCCCTCAATGAGCCCTAAATTTTTACTAGTGGTTAATTTAACTGTCAATCAGCCTCCGAAATTTTATATAAATGTAGCATTTTAGTGTTTCGTAATGTGAAAATAAACTGAAAATAAATGACAAAATAATTTATTAATATAATAAAAAATAAATTTTATAAATTAAAAAGTGAGGTAAAATTAAAAAAATTATTTTATAAATTATTTTAAATAAAATAAATAATAATTAAAATCATATAGTTAAACTAATTAATATAAAATAATAAGAATAGTAATGATTGTTTTATAAATTATTTTAAATAAAATAAATAAAAAAATAAGTATTAAATTTAATAAAGTTTTTTTAATTTTAATTAAAAATAAATAAGTAAATAATAATTTAAAAAATAAAAAGTTGAAGTTTGATGATGAAATTTAATATAATTAACAAATAATAATATTTGTAAATTTTTCATGACTTTTACAAACTTTCAAAAAGTATTTCTCATCTAAAATGAAAGAAAATACTTTCTTAAAAATTAAATTAATTTTTTTTTAATTGAAAAATATTTTATCTTGATCAACTTTTCTAATGACAAATAAATATATAAAAATTTAAAAAATAATTTTTAAAAATCACTTTTTATCAAACAAACGAGACCTTAATGTGTACTTCTTTCTTGGTCCAGTGTTTACCAAGAACAAACAATATCAACTTGAAAGGAATAGCAACTAGCTAAACTACAGAGAAACCTAATATCCAACAAGAGCACAAAACTTGCACAAAACATAGGATAACAAGTTAAAAGAGACAGGACAGGCCAAACGAGCAGCAAAAACAGGACTTGATAAGCTTAGGACCAAGAACAACACAACCAAACCGATAAAATCATATTTGTTATGTTAATTAGTATATTTTAGAGTTAGAAATTTGTCTTGTTCATTGACTAGTTCGATACCATTAGCTTGTAGCTTTTGGCTATCTGTAGTAATGGATTTATTGTTTCACATCAACCAATGTCATCTAGTAAGAGGAAAGTAAAAGCTCTTCCATATATGATAACTGAAGGGACAATTAACTTGATCGTGGAGAGGGACAATTAACTAGTAAAAGGAACAATGAAAACCCTTTCATATATGTGTTGTTCTGTGTCTGAAGGTCTCTCAACCACCGCTCGTGCGCATGCCTATCACCTCCGGGATCTCCTGGACCCTTGGGCATCGACTTTCTAGGATGCTCTCGTTGCGATCCTAGGTTAGGCAGGACTACTCGGTGAGTTTAAGCATATCAATAAACGAAGGAAAATAAACTTACAAGGATTCCTCTAGTAACAACGAATGAACTGGGAAATGCCCAACTTGAGAATTTGGCGTCTGCGACATTTGAATTGTAGTTAGGAGAAGTGTTCTTAGTGGCGGACCATTCCCAAGTCCCTAGGAAAAGGACGTCAAAAAGGGTGAGAGCCCCGTCATAGCTGGACCGAATAAAGTACCAAGAGAAGCCTTTGGGCCTAAAACTAGTGAACCACCTTGATTACTATGAGATGAAAAAGGAGCATGCAAATCTTGTGTACGTGGAACAGTAGCTGCTGATTTACGTTTGTTTCTAGCCATTTGAAAAACAGGCGGGAAAGAAAGGAAAAATAAGAGGGGGGAAGCAACGCAAGAGGTGGTCAGATACAGTAGTCGGCCATGAAACATGAGGGAACCGACTTCTTGGAGAAGAAGAGCATCTTTTTCTAGATTCTCTTTTTAGGTTGTCCTCTATTGCTCTTGCTTGAGCTCCCCTTTTCTTTTTCTTTTTTGATCAAATATAATAAATTTATAGATAAAATGAAACAAAATTGGAGAACCAATAAGTTAAAATATTTATAGATACTAATAGGAAAAAGGGAACAAGCAAAGCTAATGTAATATATCAGTAGTTAAGAAGGCTGTTAGACAACACCAGCATTCACAACAACCAGCAGCGCTATAGCAACTACAGGTCAGGTAATACAGTACAACCAGAAACCCAAATAGGCAGAGCAGACAACACATCTAATAAACAACAAACAACAAACAACAAACAACTATTAAGGTAGATAGCCACTGGGAACACAACATCCACCAAAATCCGAGGCAGAGGCAAAATAACATCCACCAGAGATGCAACACACACCCAAGGCTAAAAACAACCAAGAATATACAATAACAGCCTGAAAAGGCCACCAACCAGCCAAACTATAAAGAAACCCAACATCCAACATGAGCACAAAACCTGCATAAAACACAAGACAATAAGCTAAAAGAGACAAGACAAGCTTACAATAAAAAAGGGACTTGATCAGCTCAGGACCAAGAATAACAGAACTAGAACCCAATGAAAATTCATGCTTGTTGTGTTAATTAGTATATTTTAGAGTTAGCAATTTGTCTTATTCTTTTACTAGTCTGAACATTAGCTTGTAGCTTCTGGCTATCTGTAGTAATGGATCTATTGTTTTACACTAACTAATGTCAACTAGTGAGAGGAAAGTGAAAACCCTTTCATATGTGATAACCGAAGGGACAATTAACTTGATCAAATTAAGAAATAAGAGGGCTTTGCTTTCCTTAGTTCAAGCTTCTACTGACATCGTTACCTTTTTGTTTAGGATGGGATAACAATCACATTTATTAAATCTGCTTTAGTATAGGGGTTAACTTGAAAATTACCTACATCAGCCCTTAGTTCAGGCTAGGTTTCAAATAAAATTCAATGTAAAGATAAATTGATTAACTTAACAAGTTAAATATAGCCTGATTAATTTGACTAAAATCTAATTTTTTTTTTCTATCTCTCAATCCCAACCAGTATTGATTTATTCTAGACATTTTAATATTGGAGATGTATGTCTATATTTTTTAAGTTTCTATGGATAATTAATTATAATAAAATATGAATATGAAAGTAAAATCTTACTATAATGTAGTTGCGAGTGAAGCTGAGAAGTGAAAAAATAAATAAATTTATAAAGTATTAATTAAAAAAACTTAGAAGAGAAAAAAAGAAGAAGTGCGAAAGACATACCTGAGCGTGGAGAAGAAAAAAAAGAGTTGAGAAAAGAAGAGAAGAGAAAGAAAGAAAAGGATGTTGATGTTTTTTATGTAAGGGAAAGAAAAAAAGAAGAAGAGGCGTGTCTATTGTGAAATAAGGAATTCTAGTCTTTTTTATTGGGGTCTTTTACCGATGGAGAATTAAATATTAATATTCTTAACCATTTCATTAGTGATTCTGTCTATAATATTTAACTAAAAATTTTAATTTAATAAAAAAATTTCAGAAACCGCCAAACATTATCATTGACTTTTCAATCCATCAGTGATTCTGTCTGTACTATTTAATTAAAATTTTAAATTTAATAAAATTTTTCAGAAACCCGCCAAATAACAGTGATGACTTTTCAATTTGTCAGTGATTTTATTTGTAAAGAACAATAATTAACAGTGCAATTAAGAAGTGAACAGTTTCAGAGCTTACTGGAAAATACCATCAGAATTAATCCATCGATGATTCTCTTTGTAATTAATATGATGAATAGTGTCAGAGAGAAGTGAATAATTTACCAATGAGTTTACAAATAGATTTTATATACAACAATTTCATCTGTATAAATGACATGTCATCATACTTTTTAACTTTGTTTTAATTCCTTCTATTCCCGCTGTAATTCTCTTGATATATACCAAGAGAATATTTTTGCCGATAAAATTTATTATAATTTATCGATAAAAATCTTTCGTCAATGTTTCCATTTGGATTTGTTAATTTACTACAAGCCCACTGATGAATGTTAAAACTAGGGTGCCACTACTAGGTTTGCCCCGCGTCCAGGAAGGCATGCAGCGGAGAAAAACAACTTCACATTTGAATTCCACCTAAGTGGTTGCGCATCATAGGAACCCCGCTTCGCTATAAGGCACCCAAGGCCTTGGGTTGAGAGTGATAGGGGCAGCAGGCCGACAATTCAATGCATTAGCATAGAGCTTTACGACACAAATAACTCGATTACCATTCATGTATGACTTCATATACGCAACAACAATCCCAACAAGCGAACCACGACCACGATCACGACCACGACCACGACCACGAAAGTGAGTGAAAACACCCGAGCAAGATCATGCCTGCATTGATGGATGCGAAGGATTTAGAAGGGTCAAGCAACAAGTCGTGGGGGGACACAACAGGGACAATCATGCTGGGGGCCACATGCCTCGGTTCGAAAGATGGAGGCCAAGCCTCGGTAACGGGCATGTCGTGTTGCGAGGTCAGGGATGACAAGTAGAGCTAACACATGGGAGCATACACGACAATTTAATGCCACACCCACGCTAGCATGAAGCTCTCCTCGTAATCCCCGAGCTCGGTGGTTCGCACAAGACACTTCGACCATGCCTCTAACATGCAAGCATGGGCAGCAACCATAGCCACCGTGAGTTGAGTTTAGACCATCGTGAGACATGTTTGTTTTATTTTGGGATAATTTAATTCTGACTCCAAGCAGAGGGTAATTTTTGCTGCTAATATGGGAAATTGGTTAAGGAGCAGCCTTTCTAGCAATGAAAAGACTCGGAAAGGGTGGCCTTGGCATACGGTGTTTGGAATAGCAACTTGGTTCACTTGAAAATCCATAAATGGAAAGTATTTGGTGGTGGCTTAGGTTTTTCTAATTAATCTATAGCTGTTATTCGAAATATAATGGTTGACACTTTAATTATCAATGAGGGTGTTGACGTCTCAAGTAGGAAAATGTTTGTAGTCCTTTTCGTTGGATGGAAATATTCTCAGGAGGAATTGCTTAAGTTAAATGTAGATGGATAAGCAGTAAAGGCAATACTAGTGTGGCAGGAGCCGAAGGGCTGATTAGAGATAGTATGGGAACCTAGATGAAGGGTTTCACAATCAACATGGGTATATGCACTTCAGTTAGAGCAAAGCTTTGGGCAACAGTACTAGCTTAGATCTTGCATAGACCCTTGGATTATGTCAGGTAATTCTAAAGATGGATTTGATTTTAGTTATTGCTTTGATTATGAGATTTACCCCTAAAAATGATTGTAATAATGCTTTGATCACTCAAGTTAAGGAAGCCCTAGCTAGGGAATGGGAAATCATAGCTCAACATATAGTTCAAGAGGGATGAGTTATTCCTCGTTTAATATAATATAGGGAAAAAAGGAGTGTGCGGTAACACATCACAAGCATGTACCTTTTTCCATTAATTTTGGATGCAATCTTGAATAACTTTCTCTCTCTTAACTAACAATAATCTAGCTGCCCTTTAGGTTCGCACCGAAGGTACTTGTAGGAGATAATGACTTCTAAAGGATTACTTGTGTGTGTGTGTGTGTTTTTATGTGCTGTTATGCGCTTTCTTGCTTGCACCAGAGAGCTTCAGGAGAAATCCAGGCGAAACTAGAACTTCAAAAAAGACTCGATACTATAAAAAAAAAAGAGATACACATAGTTGTTCAAGGCTGACCTTGGCATCCAAGCCAACGTGGAGAGCCAAGTGGTGGTGTAGCATTTCCTGCAAATGGAAAATCTCGGAGGGATAATGTAGTCCAGCTTCAACTTGAATTATTAATGGATATATCATAAAATAATAGAGCAAAGTAACATAATGGACATTAGCGTATGCTCTAATATCAATATAACAAAGCTAGATTAAAATAATGCTAGCCATTTCAAATTAATAGAGGCCACTGCACTGATAGGTTAATGGATTTTATGAGTTACAGAGCACCCTGTATGTATCTTAGTTTTAGATGTCTAACACACACCAGGCTCAGCACCCTTTCTTTTCCTGAGAGAGAAGGCCCAACCACTACATTACATGACTAGTTTCCAAAATCTTGTAATCTGGAACTAATTCATGCATTGACCTTTGGCTTCCATCTAGCAATGACATGTTCCTCGACAGCTTTTGTCTTCTTGAAATATTCACGGGAGAACAATAACTGCAAAGCAAGAGCAATGATATTTTTTTAATCATTTTCCAACCCCAACAATTCAAGGGGATTTGGGTTCTGTATTTGTACTGACCTAAATCATAATAGTTAAAAAAAAATTCATAAATTAAATAGCACCATTCAAATACTTCTTCATCAGTCAACTATAAAGTAATATTAGTATTTTGAAGTTGACTAGACTTACCTGCTTCTAGCTCTATTTCAAATAAACCTCACCTAACAGCCAACATGATAAAGTTCTTTCCCAGAGTCGTAGCACATCAATTATTATAGCAATTCAATATAATGATTTTTGTATCTTGTGCATAAAATACATGAAAGCCAAAAGGCCCTTGTGAATTCCATACTTCCTTTATGGTTCGAAGGCGTGTACTTCAGGAAATTAAGTCCTAGGAGGATACATTCTATGGTGCGCTATTCAAGTCTACTCCTATCGTAATAGGATCAGAACACAAGCTCATAGCAAAGCAGATTTCTAAATGTTGGTTTACGTCCATGCATCAAACAAATGAATCTAAAACACTTTATGAATTTACAACTCCAAGAGTTTAAGCTATCTCTTAAGATGACACAACAACGTAATAATATCAACTGGGAATTTGTTTAACATATCTTGCAATGATACCCTTCTTTAAGTGAAAAGAATGCAGATGCATTTGGTTGCTAGGAAAAGGGCATCATGTGTCAAACCTATCTATATTGTAAGATTTGCCGAAACTAGGTCTTATACAACTCATCTACATCCCTGGAAAAGGTTTTGGCTTTGCACTTCCAATCCTAATGCAGGATGATGTGACCCCATCAGATGGATAACATTAACATCATGGTATTCGATGAATCTGCCCCTGACCTCTACACCAACCTTGACAAGGAAGAAGGCATCTCCACAAAAGTATGAAAACTTCATTTTATTTTTCTTTCCGCTAGTTCTATCTCTTTGAGCACTTGATAATCCTCAGGCACAAACAGCCCCCATATCATATGCAACAATGAGCAATAAGATAGTAACGTGCCAAGAAGCGAGATGAATGAATCATTTCTATGGGTGTCACCCTAAGGTTGAACATTGAGCTTACTGGATCAACCATCAATGTTAGAGAATTTCAAGAATATCACACCCCATACCATAGTAGGTCTTGTCATTCAACTAACACAAGTCATTATAAAAATTTAGTTTTCTCTTAACAATCCACGTTTCTATCTCAATATCTCACATAAAGACGAGGAACTACAACAACTTCGATTGATCAGGTCATCAGGTGTGTGAAGGTGGTTAGCGAACCTACCATCTCAGATGAATGATTAATATCATGACCAAAGACAACATATATAAAAACAACTTGTCATAGTTTTCGATCCATCATTCAATTGATTGAAGTCAAATCTGAAACAACAAACAAGGCGCATAATCACAGGATAACAAAAAAGATGGAGTACCTTAATGTAGTTGAGGACATGTGTCAAATTGTCAGGGATAGTCCAGTTCTTGAAATGGCCAAGAGCAACCTCAAGATGGTAAAGATTCGGAGCGAAGCTCAAATCCACTACTGTGATCTTTTCCCCAGCAATGAAAGGACCTTGATAACATGCTCCAATAAATTAGATTGCACTTCAAAACTGAAAAAGTAAAATAGAACCATAAACTCTTCAAATATAAGTCTGTGTTTCAAATTTATACATACGTGCTGTTGAAATAAAACTCAATCTAGAAGGTCAAGGAAGGCAACCACCAGCTGTCACCGCCCAACTAGAAGGTCAATGAAGGCAGCCACCAGCTGTCACCGCCCAGCCACCAACCGACCAGCCGCCAGCCACCGGCCGCCAGCCGCTTTCACACCGTCGGCCACAACCGCCTTCACACTTGAAGGTTGAATTTTCTTGTTTTGATTTCGTGTATAAATAGATAGCTAAGCTTATGCAATTATGTGTGGAGAGATTGAGAGAAACACTAGAGAGAAAGAGAGAAAGAGAGAGGGGTTGTTGTAAACTTTTGTTTATGTTATTGTAAGCTTTGTTCTTGAAATAAAAGAGCGTGTTTTATCCCCTCTGAGTGTTTCAAAGCCACCACAAGTGGTTTCTCCCACCAACAATTGGTATCAGAGCCCCGTTCGTCAGAAAACAGAGGTATTTTTGGGAAATATCCGAATTTTCAAAGTTGTCAAAAACAAGTTTTGATCATTCCAAAGTGTAGAGCTCATCAATACGAACTCAACGGTGCAAAAATCAGATCAATCGGAGCACGGGGTGGACCACACTCTCCGTCTGAAATTTCAGCACTGTAGCCCACGCGCCCCGAGGAAGAAGACGAGTGAGCCACACGCGCGCCATATTTGAGCCCGCCGAGCCAAGACTCAAGCCGAGTCGCGAGCCGAGCCACAAGCCATATTTCGAAGCCGAGCCGAGCTCCAAGCCATATTCCGAAGCCAAGCCAAGCTCCGAGCCATATTCTAAAGTCAAAGTCAAAAAAGAATATTCCTTGGAATATTCCCGGTTCAACCCAGCAAACCACCCGAATTGGTTTTTGGACCGGTTCACCTCATTTTTGACCCGTTTTCTACAAAGTCAGACCGGTTCCCTACTATTTGGACCATTCCGGATCCATCTACGGTGTCGGTTTTGCCAAATTCAACTCCCAAAAAGGTGATATAGTCATTTAAAGAGCAAAATGACTACAGAAAGTGCACAAACACTCATCCCGAAGCTAACCAAAGACAACTATGATAGTTGGTGCATCAGATTGAAGGCATTCCTTGGTTCACAAGAGTGTATAGACATTGTGCAATATGGTTATGATGAACCAGAGTCGAAAGAATCAGAAGATGCTTTACCAGAGGTACAAAAGCAAGTCCTCAAAGCCAATAGAAAAAAAGACAACAAAGCAAAGACCATCATTTATCAAGGTCTTGATGAAGCGACATTTGAAATCATTGCTTCCGCAGAAACATCAAAAGAAATATGGGAGGCTCTCCAACAAAAATACAAAGGTGCTGACAGAATAAAGAAGATTCGTCTCCAATCTTTACGAGGTGAATTTGAATTGTTACAAATGAAGTCCTCAGAATCCATTTCTGATTATCACACAAGAATTATGGTGATAGTCAATCAGATGAGAAGAAACGGAGAAGCCCTTTCAGATGCTCGAATTACTGAGAAAATTTTGAGATCCCTAGATCCAAAATTTGATTTTGTTATTGTCGCTATTGAAGAGTCCAAAGAGGTGGACAAGTTAACAGTGGATGAACTTATGAGTTCTTTGCAAGCTCATGAGCAGAAAATTGTAAAAAGAAATGGAGATAAGGCAATTGAGCATGCCTTACAAGCAAAGTTGTCTCTCAAAGACAGATATGAGCAAGGGGAGACTTCAACAAGTGGATACACCACTCGAGGAAGAAGTCAACAAACACGAGGAGGATTTCAACGATTTCAAGGCAGAGGTTCTTGGAATACAGGTTTTAGAGGAAGAGGTGGTAGAAACACCACCAGAGGAGGTCGAGGACAACAAGCATTCACTCCTAGAGGAAGAGGAGGCGGTTACAATAACCGTGACAAGAGGAATATTCAGTGTTATAATTGCAATCAATTTGGCCACTATAGCACTGAATGTCAAAAGAAAGCTCCACTGGAGATACGTGAGCGAGTCAACTATGCAGAAGAGGATGTCAACAATAGAGGAGCAGCTGCATTATTTGTCCAACAAGGACTTGACAAGAATCAAGAGAATATTTGGTATCTTGATTCTGGAGCCAGCAATCACATGTGTGGCCAACGAGATTTATTTGGTGATCTAGATGAGACCATACAAGGTTTTGTCACCTTTGGAGATACGTCAAAAGTTCCATTCAAAGGTAAAGGCAACATCCCAATCAAGTTGAAGAATGACGATCATAGCTACATCGCCGATGTCTACTATGTCCCAGCCATAAAGCAGAACTTGGTGAGCATAGGTCAACTTTTAGAGAGAGGCTATACACTTTACATGAAGAATTTTCATCTGACAATTACAGACTACAATGGGAGATTAATTGCCTATGTGAAAATGTCCAAGAATAGGATGTTTCCTTTAAACATCCAATATGATGCAGCAAAGTGTTTGAGTGCCATCACCAACAGTGAAGAATGGCTTTGGCATCTGAGGCTTGGACATCTGAATTTCACAAGTCTGAAGATGCTAGCAAGCAAGAAGATGGTCAAAGGTATGCCCCACATTGATCATCCAGAAGAAGTCTGTGAGAGTTGTGTCCTCAGCAAACATCACAGATCCAGTTTTGCCAAAGAAGTCAACTGGAAAGCAAACGAGCCACTAGAGTTAATACACACAGATGTGTGTGGTCCTATAAAGCCTATGTCGACTGGACAAAATAGGTACTTCCTCACTTTTATTGATGATTTTAGCAGAAAGACATGGGTATATTTTTTGAAGAGGAAGTCAGAAGTGTTCAATTGTTTTAAAGATTTTAAAGCAATTGTTGAGAAGCAAAGTGGCTATAAGATCAGAACCGTGAGATCTGATCAAGGTGGAGAATATACAGCAAATGACTTTGAAGCCTTTTGTACACAACAAGGGATCAGACATCAGACAACACCAGCTTATACACCACAGCTGAATGGTGTAGCTGAGAGGAAGAATCGAACAATTCTTGATATGGCAAGAAGTCTACTCAAAGTAAAGAAGCTGCCCAAGCAATACTGGGCTGAAGCTGTATCATGTGCAGTATATTTGTTGAACCGCTGCCCAACCAGAAGTTTGCAAGCTATCACTCCACAAGAAGCATGGAGTGGTCACAAACCAAGTGTTACTCATCTTCGAGTCTTTGGTTGTGTGGCATATGCAAAGATCTCAGATGCAAGAAGGACCAAACTCGATGATAAAAGTGAGAAATGCATCTTTGTCGGATATGGTGAGAGAAGAATGGGATACAAGCTGTATAATCCCATCACCAAGAAGGTAATTATGAGCAGAGATGTTATCTTTGAAGAAGATAAAACTTGGCAATGGAATGATGACCAAGAAGCAGTTAAATGGATCAGCACTGATTTGATCCTTGAAGATGAAGAAGTACCAACAGTACTTGCAGAAGGTCCAATAGTACCAGAAGATGAGCCACAAAGTCCGGTACACAGATTTCCTGTATTCAACAGGAGAAACACGCCAGAATCATCATCAATACCATCAGCATCAGCATCCTCATCAGAAGGACCAAGAAGGATGAGAAATCTAGAAGAGCTGTATGACGCCACTCAAGTAATGGAAGATACAACTCTATTTTGTTTCTTTGCAGATAGTGACCCACTTAGCTTCAATGAAGCTATCACAGAAGAGAAGTGGATAAAAGCAATGGATGAAGAAATACATGCCATTGAGAAGAATGATACTTGGAAGCTGACTTATCTACCAGAAAACAAGAAAGCAATAGGTGTCAAATGGGTCTATAAGACAAAGAAGAATGCAAAAGGAGAAGTGCAAAGATACAAAGCAAGATTAGTGGTGAAAGGCTACAAACAGAGAGAAGGCATTGACTATGGAGAAGTGTTTGCTCCAGTAGCCCGGCTAGAGACAATCAGATTGATGATCTCACTAGCAGCACAACATAGATGGAAGATCTATCAACTTGATGTGAAGTCAGCATTTCTGAATGGCTTCCTAGAAGAAGAGATCTATGTTGAACAACCACTTGGATACATTGATGATGAAAATGAAGGCAAAGTATACAAGTTGAAGAAAGCCCTCTACGGTTTGAAGCAAGCTCCGCGTGCTTGGAATACCAGAATTGACAGGTATTTTCAAGATAATGGATTTGAAAAATGTCCATATGAACATGCAATTTATGTGAAGAAAGAAGCAAATGGCAACATATTATTTGTGTGCCTATATGTTGATGACTTGATATTCACCGGCAACAATCCTACCATGTTCGAAGACTTCAAGAAAAGCATGGTACAAGAGTTTGAGATGACAGACATTGGTCTGATGGCACATTTTCTTGGCTTAGAAGTGGTGCAGAAAGAAGAAGGGATTTTTGTATCCCAAAGCAGTTATGCCAAAGATATTCTTGAAAGGTTCAAGATGGAAAGCTGCAATCTGGTATCAACTCCAGTCGAGAATGGAGTGGAATTGAGGAAAAGTAAAGTTGGAAATGTTGATCCAACTTACTTTAAAAGCTTGGTAGGAAGCTTAAGGTACTTGACATGTACCAGACCAGATATACTCTACGGAGTCGGACTGATCAGCAGATATATGGAGAAGCCAGACCAGTCTCATTTGAATGCAGCCAAGAGAATTCTTCGCTACATCAAAGGCACAATAAATGAAGGTATGTTTTATACCTCAAGTACAAATTTCAATCTTACTGGCTACTCGGATAGTGATTGGGGTAGAGATCTGGATGAAAGAAAAAGTACAACAGGGTTTGTATTTTTCGTGGGAGATACATCTTTCACATGGTCATCCAAGAAGCAATCAATTGTCACATTATCAAGCTGTGAAGCTGAGTATGTTGCCGCCAACTCAGCTGTATGCCATTTAATATGGTTAAGGAATTTGCTAAAGTTTTTGGGATTTCCTCAAGAAAATCCTACAGAGATTTATATCGATAATCGATCAGCGATTGCATTGGCAAAGAATCCGGTGTATCATGAAAGAAGTAAACATATTGATACACGTCATCCCTTTATCAGAGAGCATGTAAAGAACAAAGAAGTCGAGCTGATATCCTGCAAGACAGATGATCAAGTTGCAGATATTTTTACCAAGCCATTGAAAAGAGAAGTGTTTATCAGATTGAAATTCATGCTTGGAATGACATCCCTCGATTGAGTTTAAGGGGGAGATTTGTTGAAATAAAACTCAATCTAGAAGGTCAAGGAAGGCAACCACCAGCTGTCACCGCCCAACTGTCCAGCCGCCGCCGCCAGCCGCCAGCCGCTTTCACACCGTCGGCCACAACCGCCTTCACACTTGAAGGTTGAATTTTCTTGTTTTGATTTCGTGTATAAATAGATAGCTAAGCTTATGCAATTATGTGTGGAGAGATTGAGAGAAACACTAGAGAGAAAGAGAGAAAGAGAGAGGGGTTGTTGTAAACTTTTGTTTATGTTATTGTAAGCTTTGTTCTTGAAATAAAAGAGCGTGTTTTATCCCCTCTGAGTGTTTCAAAGCCACCACAAGTGGTTTCTCCCACCAACACGTGCGCCTTGAGATGCCCATTCAATGCCTTCAATTCCTCAAGCAAAGCCTGCTCAGTTCCATCACTGGGATCCTTGCTCTTCAAGAACTTAACAAAAGATGGGAATATCTTTGAACCCCTGTACTTCCACATGGTTTATATTGCAGATTAATTTCTGTTGACAACCTTCTAGTAGCAACCAATGAGAATAGAAGCATGACCACACAAAAAACATCCGGAAACAACCTAAAGTATAGATTAGTTTGTTGTCATAATAATTAAAAAACATGTCCTACACTAATGCATCCTTGAAAGAAGAATACAAAAAGCTACGAGTAAGAAGAGTTTTTTATGATGATTTATCATGAAATGAGAACAAATATAAGAGACATGAAGAATTTTTGCACATTACCATTACCACATTAATGGTGAGGAGAATGCACTGTAAATGAAGCACAGAAAACAAAAAAGAATCAGTGGTTGATGATAGAGAGAGAAAGAAATTTATAAACAATATCTATCTCGCAATTCCGGCAACTTCCCGTATTCACATCATTCGGTAGAAAAAAATAATCCAGCAAAACTATCACATCCGCATTCAAACTGCTAGAGATAGTAAAGGAAGGTGAAAGATGCTTACACAGAGGCAAATTCCAGAGGAATGGCAAGAGGGGGTTCAGGTTTTTTCTCCTCTAAGATACCAACAATGACGTCAGAATCTGCGACCAATTTGTCATCAATTTTTACCACTGGGACCTTTCCTTCCGGGCTTATCTCCAAAAACCTATCAAAATAACAACCTTCCAAATCTCAATCCATCATGACGCATAAAAGCAAAAAAATTACACATATTTTTCGATCATATCAAGGGTATTCTAGTCATTAAAGCTCCGTTCATCCATAGTTTATGATACCAATTGTTATCAATGATGTTGAGTCCTCTTTACACGTTGAAGCATTCATTTCATATTTGAACTAAAAAAAAAACAATAAAAAAAGGATCTTAGATTAAAACAATGATATTGCCCTCTAAGATCGTTTTTAAATAGTTTGTTCTCAATGGTTAACTAAATGAGGGGCTTGTTTTTCCTCGAAGTCAACAATAACCATTACAACTAGCAGGTATCTTCTTATGCAAATAACATATATATACAAGCGCACTCACACATATGTGGAACGCATGGAGACATTAAAAACAACAGCTACAAGTAATCCAACACAACAAGAAAAACTTCAATCTTACACGTTGGAAATAAAACATAGATACAACAAGAACCATTTTCTCAAACACTTGAAATGAACTACAAAAGCACTCAACAAACTCAAACTACAATAAACACAACTATCATGAAGACTAACAGATGTGATCATTTAAATACCATTGAGGTTTATCACCCAGACTGATGAGATGAGACTTGTATGGAATTTTCTTCTCTTCCAGACTCAACAGAACTCTCTGGCAAAATAGGCCTAAAACAGCAAAAATACACAAGTTCCAATCAAAACCCGGGTGTAAAATCACAAACAAATGACACCCACAAAAACATCAAACAAAACTTATAATCTCCGAGAATATTAGGGGCACTAACAGCAGCTTCGACACAGATCTCTAAAGCCATTATTTCTGTCTGTGGGAGAAATAGTAGTGAAAGGTTGACGGGGGTAGAGATTGAGAGAGTGAATCGTATGAATTGGTGACAGGTGAAAAATTGGTGGCTTATTTATTTTGTGATTATGATGGCTTTTGGACCGGAGTGAACCGGACCGGAAAAGATATGGGCACACGTTATGCTTTGAAGGGTTGAGGATACTATTAATATATTCTAGGTTTTAAGGAGACGTGTTATAAATGTGAGTTATTACAAAAAGGTTGTTTCTTGATCCAAAAACAACTTGCTTTTTCTGACGGCCATTTACCCTTCCAATTTCGAACAGACCTTTTATATTCAAGACCCTAAAGAATGAAATTACGGAATGTTTCTCTCCTTTTTTTCCTTCAAAATTGAACTCGCGATGATGGAAACTTGTTTATGATCTGATGTTTGAGACTCTGACTGGATTGTTTGTGATCTTCTCTCGACCTTTTTTTTAGCACAAACCAATGGAGGAAGATAAAATTGTCAAACAACAAAACTTTTTTGTTTCTTTTTCAAAGTGTTAAAATGGATCCATTGGATGAATTTAATGTCTGGCTACATGTTTTCATTATCTAGTCGAAGATGTTCTTGGTGGTGTTAGTATTTTTTTTTATCGATTATTAAAATCTTAGGATAAACCATATTGTTGTGGACTTTATCCAGGTATATGTCTGTTGGGAGAGATGGAATGGCAAAAAATGGAAAGAGCAAAAAACTGAACGAGATATCAATCATTAATTGTTTGACTGCCTTACCCTTTCATTTCCCTTTCTCATCACTCTTATTAAATAAATAAACAAACAACCTAGTCATATAGCCAAACAAGTCAGTAAGAGTATTTTCAGACACATTTTAATGTGTCCCGTGATAGAAATGACAAATATAAGAAATTAAAAATATGATAATGATAATGTGACGTTAGTCCATAATTGATGATAACTTTACATATTGTAACCCTGTTCTTTGATAAATGTACTATTTTCTTTTTCTTGGCCACCTCAATCCCAATTTAAATGTTCATTCAAAGGTTAAAAGTATAGCAAATACTTTTATTCTATCCTTTTACCCTTTCAAAGGCCCAAAACTCTTCTCACAGGAGAGATATCAATCACGGGCTTGTTGCTGCAAGCTGTGCTAGCGTTGTTCGTTAGAAGCTCTTCCAGTGTTTTTTTTTAATCGAAAGTTTCATATATATATATATATATATATATATATATATATCCACTAATTTATCAGTTCAAATCATGATATGACATATACGGAAGTTAATTATTTTCACAGAGTGAATCTAAAAAAAAGTTTTATTGTAAAATTAAAATAATTTTAAGATAGAACTAACGCAAAAAAAATGGTGTAAAATTGGTATTGTTTCAGTAGTTTAATGGCATATTTAATGTCTTTTTAAATTAATAATAATCTTGAAAATAAAATTTTAAGCTGAGTAATTCTTTTTTCTTATCCTTTCCTTACCGGATAACTTTTAAAGTATTTTTTATTTAAAAATATATTTAGCTAATATATATATTTTTAAAAAAATTATTTAAAAAAAAATATTTTTGATATTAAAATATTAAAATGATTTAAAAATATAATTTTAAATAAAAAAATTAAATGTTTTTAAAACATGCAGCCAACGGGCATTACCAAACTCTTCCTATATAGCGTGTAAAAATTTCAAAAGCCAAAATTCTGGGTTTGAACGAAAGACATGGAGCTTGAAAGCCCACCCAAAGCCAACATCCAATCACGCAAAGATCACAACCTGGCCCACTCTAGCAACAGATATCAAAACCCTAATCGTGTCTCAATTCACATGTAAATCACGTGCGAATGTGTGGCCTCGTTACCCGTTGACCACAATAATAAATATTCCTGTTGTCCTAAGACAGCAAACAAAACGATGAAGCGAAAGCCCAATGAAACGAGGATTGAAAAGTTAGAGATAAGGGACGAGATCATGATCTGCTGGAACAGAAGGTAGTTGAATAGTTAGTATTGGCCTGAATTTAATAGATAAATAATTTTAATCAATTATAAATACTGATTCATTATAGTTTTAACTGTGGCATAGAATACATAGAACCCTAAAATGGAAGACACTGTCGAAAGAAGAAAAATAAACACAAAATCGAGAGAAAAAGAAAGAAGGTAACTTACAGTGAAACGAGAAAAAAAATAAATTTATACCCAGGATTTTAAGTAATTGCCTTTTTCTTTCCTTCTCGATTACTGGCAGAGATGTGGATTATAGGGTTGATGAATGTTTAGCTATTTAAGCTTCTGATATAAATATTTTTCTTTATAATTTCTTTTAAGTTAACTTGTTCTTGTGGTTTTTCTTTATAATTTTAGCCCAAGAGCTGGTTCATCATGCCCAGATGCCTGGGATTTCTTTTTAATATTTATGAAAACCTTTTTTTTTTAAAAAAAAAAATCTTGACTAGAGTAAAACAATATCTTGAAATAAAATAAAAAAAATTTACTCCCAAGGCTCTAGGCTATTTTTTAAAAAAGGGCTTTCCTTTTTTATAAAAATTATTTATGAAATCTTTTTTTTAAGAAACAAAATATTTAGTATTAATTTATCTGGCAAATACCTTACTATCAGTAAGGTTGGTTTCCTTTATCTGTCCGAAATCCTTCAAGTATGCTGATCCCAGTACGTTGTATTCTAAACATGATTTATCCCTGAAGTCTGAACCTGAACCAGGGGGGTCTGTGTTTACAGGGATATTTCCAGTATTTATACTGTTGATGCTAGCACTACAGTACTCTGTTTTGATTTGAATGGTAGAGAATAGCAGATGGAGAATTATATATCTTAGTTTTTCAAACACTTGCATTTTCTGGTGGCAGAAACAAAAGCAGCTCCCTCTTCGTAGCTATGATTGATTTGTGAATGAGGGGCCCTGAAGTGATGCATCCACCATTGATGATTAGGTATTCAAACAACTCCACTGCCAGGTCCAATAATGCCTTTAGAGGCTATGCTAAATCTTCGGCTGGGGGTTTTAGGTTCCAGATGTGTGGACTTCCTTTATGTTACGATCCCAACCATTCCTCTTATTCCACTTTCCAGACATGAACACAAAAACGTTTAGGTTTCTAACCTCTACACACACACATTAAAAAATAAAATAAAAAAACGTAGAAAAGCTTTGTACCAACTCCATCTCATCAACTCCTACTTCAGAACACAGACTATATATACATACATTTTCATACCTTCTAATGCATAAGCAAAACACTAAAGAAAACTGAAAATCTTCTTGAGCTCTTTTTCTTGCTTCTCTCTCAAGTACTCTCTGACATGGAAATTCACAAAATTCTCTCCACCACAAACAAGGGCATAGCCTGTCTTCTGTTCCTCACTCTTACCATTGCATTTACTACGTCAGCTAGAACCCTGGATGAGCAACCAGAGGTGCCTGTTGTTCCCCCGGAGTCAGACAATGCAGTCGATGATACTGTCACCAGTGTTCCACCACTACCTCCAGTACCATTAGCACCCACACAGCCTAATCCAACTGGGGCTGCAAGCACTAGTGCCACGATAAGTAATCCTGGTCATACCTTAAGCTTCTTCATGCATGACATTCTTGGTGGAACAAACCCCTCGGCTAGAGCGGTGACTGGCATAGTCAGCAACCCCGCATTCTCTGGCCAAGTCCCATTTGCCAAACCTAATGGCGCAAACCTCCCATTAAATAATGGCGTGCCCCAAAATAGCAACAATAATGGCCTTATAAACAACAACAACCTACCTTTGCTCAGTGGCCTTGGTGGCACCGCACAGCCTGTGGTTCAAAACAATGGTAATAACTTCAACAATGCATTTAACCTGCCACTGAGCAATGGAGGCAATCTTCCATCTGGTTCCACTCTTCAAAAGCTCATGTTTGGAACCATCACTGTGATCGACGACGAACTGACCGAAGGGAATAATTTACGGTCAAGTTTTTTAGGTAAGGCACAAGGGTTCTATGTGGCTAGTTCTCTGGATGGTACCAGCCAAATAATGGCATTCACAGCTATGTTTCAGAGTGGTCATTATGCTGATAGCCTTAGCTTTTTCGGGGTTCTCAGAACAGGAGTCTCCGAGTCTCAGCTTGCTATCATGGGTGGAACTGGAAAGTATGTCAATGCTCAGGGTTATGCTATTATTAAGATCAATATCCCTTCTACCAATCAGAGTACGACCGATGGTGTTGAGACCGTGCTGGAGTTCGTTGTTTATGTGAGCTACTAATCCAAATTGTTTGAGAAATGTTGCTTTTGTAAGAATGTTGTATGTGTGCTTGAAGATTGTGAACTTGTAATATTTTGGGTTATTTGGACAGACAGTTTGCTTTGGTTTGTGAATCATATCTAGAGAAAATGGAAACTCAGTTTCTTTTTTTCACTGTCATCGATCTGTCCCTGTTCGTCTACTTCTTTTTTTTTTTTTTTTCCTGAAAAAGGTAACAAAAGTTTCACATGGAAACTTGTTGCTCTCATGGGCAACCCCATTCCTCCAACTTTGCCAGAGATACAAAACAATTTGCTTGAAAACCAAAGGGACAAAGCAAACCCCTTGGAATTTCCATGCTGTTTTTGTATGTTCGCTGATGATTTTAGTCCTGCTCTGGAATAACTATCACGTTTTACATTTGACCATAACCAAATTATGTAAGAACATTCATCTCAGTGGAGTGTTTTGGAATTTGGACTCCCCAAGCAAATTAACAAGACAGAGGTTTCCTTTTCAAAGCATTATGTTACTAATTAATTTGATTACGCTAATTTTTTGGAAGCAAATCCCATTATTACACAAAAGCTCCAAAAAAAAACCAAGAAACTGATATTTCTTTGGATAGAAGGAGACAGCTTTGTAGTTGAATCAAACGTGGTTTGGTGATAACGCCAAATCAAGTCTGTCCTTTAGTCCACAGAACGTTAAAAAACGGGCATTTGGTCTAGTGGTATGATTCTCGCTTAGGGTGCGAGAGGTCCCGAGTTCAATTCTCGGAATGCCCCGAAGCTAGTCGACTGTCTTTGTTTTTACTTTCTGAGATTCTTTTGGGCCTATCCCAGCCCACAAATTGTAGTCACGCTCCGATTATG